ATGAGACCTATGTTGGCAGGCGTTCCAGCCGTGTTGTGCGTTCTCTACAGAGCAGTAAGTAACTGAACCTGTTTTTCAGCCTGAGCTCTTCCTGTTCTGTGCCTTCATGGATGACATGGGTGTGAGCAGTAAAGAGTAGAACCTTGTATTGGGACATATCTCGCCACTTACTGGGCCACTTGTGGATACGTAGGGGTATCAAAGCAACCAGAGATGTGCTGCAAGGCTAGCACTAAATTATGTTTTCCCATGTGAGCCCTGCAACAGACACAGCTCTTCATCATGGTTACACTTTGAGGAGCATGGATCTTACAAGTACCTCTTCAAGCTTTCCTCTTTCACACCTTCACAGTGCAGAAAGCAGGGAAACATGATAGGAAGGTGTCCTGATTTGGGCTGGGATAGAATTAGTTTTCTTCCTGGTAACAGGTATAGTGCTGAGTTTTGGGTTTGGTATGAGAATAATTTGATACCATTATTGTAACTAATAGTGTAGGTTGTTGAGAAGTAGCAGTTACTCTAAGTCAAGGACTTTTGGGTTTCCTGGGTTCTGCTAGAGAGGAGATGTGCAAAAAGCTCAGAGGGAGCATGGCCAGGATGAGTGACCTGAACTGGCCAAAGGGATCTTCCATACCATAGAACACCCACTGTATAAACTGGGGGAGTTGGCTGGGAGGGGCCAGTCACTGGTTGGGAATGGGATGGCATCAGTCTGAGGGTGGTGAGCGGTTGTACATCACTTATGTTTCTTGGGTTTTGTTATCTTCCTTTTCATTACTATTTTTGTTGTTTTACTTTATTTCCATTATTAAACTGTTCTGTGTTAATGCAGGAGTTTTACCTTTTTCTGATTCTTCTCCCCATCCAACCGGGGTCAGGGGGTGAAGGGTTCCAGGACCAGGTGCAGTGAGCTAGCAGTCATGTGATATGCAGTTTCCACCTGAGACAAAGCTTTTATTTGTGTTAGTAACCAGACTGTTTGTTTCAGCCCCGTCCCTGCAGTCGCGGCACTGGGGGTCCCCCCAGCAGAGGGAGGAATCGCAGAGCCGAAGAGCGGAGGAGGTGAACCAGCTTCCCACTCCTTTGGGTCTCCAAGAAACCATCGCGGAATCCATCTACATTACCCGCCCGCTGCTCCACCGTATCCTGATTCTCCGTGCGGGCTCCCAGCGCTCCGGGTGCCAGCAGAGGGTGCTGCGGGCTCGGCCGGGCGCAGGGCAGTGATCGCCAGCTCCGCTCCCTGTGCAGCTCTGCTCGGGCACGGGACTCGGGCCTCTTCCCGTTCTTACACTTTGGTGGCTGGCTGCAGCCACTAGAGCTGTGCGTGCAAGTCCTCCAGCCCCCTTCCCCGGGGCTCCCAGCCCTGCCTTAGGGTGTATTCGCCTGTGCTTGGCAGAACTTTGTGGGTACGCAGGGGGTCACTTCTCTGTGTGCCTCTTGTTAGGAATCTCTCGTCTTTTCATTCCTTGACTGTGTGTTCCTAGTTCTGAGTTTAGGAGTATGGGGTCAGAGATCATGGAAGCCCTGGCTCCTCTCGGCAGTCCTGGACATCTCGAGGTCAGTCTGATGAAGAGCCTTTCTGGTGCTTGGTTTGGTGGTGGCTGGGCATCACACTTCCCCATTCCCCAGTCCTGGGCAGGCCCTACTGAGAGAAATATGCACCCAGAATGGTCTTTAGCTTGGAGATTGACACATCTTCTACAACACGTACAGTGCTCTCTCTTCTGAGCTGCTGCGTGCTGCTCTGGCTGGAGCTGACAGCAGAGGGCTTTAGAAACCCGCTTTCTTTTCCCTGCTGACTGCTTTTGCTGTGACTTAGCTCTTTGCCCTCCTCCTTCCAGTCTGAGTTTGCTGAGTGATCTGAAAGACCTGAACAGGCGAGAGCGGGCGGAGCTGAGGCGACGAACCATCCTGCTGCTGTACTACCTGCTGAGATCTCCTTTCTATGACCGATACTCAGAGTAAGGTGCCCTTGCTGGGCTTTTGCTGAAAATTTCCCTTTTAACTGAAATAGCGTCAGTGGACTGGGTGAGTAGATCTGAAGATGTGTGGGTGCTTGTGACCAGGTTATTCTAAGCCTTTGTATAACAGCTGCCATTGCTGTTTGTGTGTTCAACAGCTGGGGCAGAAGATGTCCAGCTGAACTTGTTCATTTTCTTTCCCTTTCTAGGGGCAGGATCCTCCTCCTTTTGCGCTTGTTGGCCGATTATGTTCCTGGAGTTGGCTTCATCACACGTAAGCAGGTCCCACTGTTACATCCCCATTTCTGTCTGGTGAAAAAAATTGAGGGCAGTTGGGAACATTTATCAGTTGGTTTTCAATCTGGGGAAGGAATTGGGAAGTCCCTAGAGACGTTAGCACTAGAGCACCCTGTGTTGATGCTTGAATAATTTTTAAGTGCTGAAGGAAAAGATAATTGCTTCCTGCCTTGATGACAGTAGAAAACCTCTGTGTGCCCTGAGGCTGCAGAGCTCTGCCACATAGGCATGTTCTCCTGGGCTTCCATTCTGCACCTCAGATGGTACACCAGGGCGCCAGCTTTGCAGCTCTGTTCTGAACTCTTTTCCTTGATCCCTAGTCTGCAGTGTGGACATGAGGGATAAATGGGAGCCTGGAAGTATTGAACCAGGCAAAAACTGATTGTAAATCAAAGGGCTAAACCAGGTCTGTGTTCTAGTTCTTCACCAGAGGATCCAATTATTATAGGCCAGCATTTCATTTCCCTCCACTCTTCCACTGATGATGTTAATCCTTTTGTGGAGTGATTCATTGCAGTGATGTGATATTACATCAGCCTGGCATCATGGCCCTTTCTTTGGGGAGGTCACAAAGCTGGCTAGCACAGGAGCCACTTCCTCCAGTTAGTGATTTCAGAGAGGCTTTGGAGCCTGCATTAAGCTCTGTGCAATGTAAGCATTTTTGCTCTACAGCAGATGCTTCTATGGTTGCACCTGCTCACTATTGCTGTGTTATCTTACTTCTTCCCTGCACAGCAGTGTTCTCCTGACTCTCTGCACGTGGGTTTTCCCCTTGCACATTGTAGACCCCCTTTCCCACTGCAGTTTGAATATGTCAGCTCTGAGGGAGTGGTTGGTGTCCCACACCATGCCTGTGCTGACAATGTTTCACACTGCTCTTGGTCCTGCTCTGATCTCTGACACCACATTGCAGTGTTGCCTTACATCTTGTCAGAAGTAACTGTTTTATTCTTGGGTTCATCTGAGTTGTGTAAGTGGAGATTTGGGGTTGTTTGGATCATAATGAGAAGTGGGGGATATACCCCATAGACACACAGCTTTAAATTGTTGCCTTTCTTCATAAATGATCCCTCTGTTCTCTTGTTTCAGGGCCACTGATGGATTACTTGCCTGCTTGGCAGAAAATATATTTCTATAACTGGGGCTGATAAGAAGATGATTACTCTCTGCTCAAATCATGGCTGGACATTCCTAAGGAGGGCAAACAGGCTAGGGGAGGGATGTTGATAACGTCTAATTTTCAGTTAAATCATAAATGAGAAGTTCCTGTTCTGCAGAGCAGGGAGGGGGTTGTATGCAATTTTTTAACAGATCTAGGCACGAATGATGGACACTAAATGTGTAGGGAGACCCTGGCAATCTGTTTCTCTGGACCATTCTGTGGCTGCAGTGATGGTGATGGGGCAACTTCTTTTTTGAAGCACTTGATTTTTTCTTCTTTTGTAATAAAGCCAGGCAGCATAGTGGTTTTTTGGAGAGCACTGTCTCACATGTCAGGGTGCTGAGGCTGACCCACAGCCTGCTCGTGTTGGCCATGCCTGGCCTATCTGCTTGGAGCGGATTTGTCTCTCAAATAAACTGACTGAATGTAGAGAACTGAGCTGAAGAACCTCTGCCTCTTTGCATGGGATCCCTTGTATCTGATTGCCAGCAGGTCTCTCTTTGCCAGAAAGAGCAGCTTTTGCAGTTGTCTACTCTGGGATACTCTGTCCTTTAGAAGCCTTTTGCTGTGGCCCGTGTCAGTCAGGGCCCACGTGTTGCTCAGCTGATGACTATAGCCTCTAATTCCCAGTGCCTGCCTCAGTCCCCACAGTCCTGGGGTTCCCCTGGGGGTACACAGAGCTGCAGTGTGCAGGCTGCTTTCATAGTACCTAATGTGTGTTAAAAGGGTTTGCAGAATGCTGCCAGCTAGTGCTTAGGGGCTTGGCCAAAGGCAGAGAAGTGATTAATTCAGCAAATCTGCTGTGCCACATTTAATAAAGGGCCTAGGATGGGCCTGTGTCTTTTCTAATGGGGGACAGCTGAGGGACCAGACTGCACAGTGAGCTTCTGGAGAGGCTCCCTTGGCCAGGACCAAGGGTTAGTCAGCTGGTGGCACTGGACTGCCCCACAGGCAGCTGTCTGGGTCCTAAGTGTGCCTCAAGTATCAGGACCATTCCTACCTGAACCATCCCTGAGGGATTCTCAGGCTGCAGACATCACAGCCTTCTTGCCTCAGCACCCAGCACTGGAAATGTAGTCCCACACACAGACACCTCATGGGCCACCACAGCTGGGGACAACAGGACTTTGCCAGGGAGGGGTCTGTGTTGCCACCTCAGCTGGCAAGGCCCTGCAACATGGTAACAGCAGTGCAGAAAAGCCTAACCAAGAGCTATGCTCCTTTGCTCTGTCTTTTAGCAGAGGAAGATGATGCAGTGTTGTCTCCTGGGCCAAAGTAGAACCAAGTTGAGATGCAAGGGCCTGCTTTTGGAGGGTTTGAGAGGAAGGCACAAGTAGGTGCTGAGGGACAGGGACAGCCCTGGAGCTCTGACTACATGAAGGGACACACACTAGCACAACAAAGGCTCCACAGCTGGCAGGGCCCAGGCAGAGGCAGCCCGGGACCTGAAGGGGACAAGGGAGGAAAGGACAGCAGCAGCACCTGGGAGGGGCCATGTCCCCTGCCCCACCCAGCAGGTGTCCTGGGCAACCTCCTCTGTGACCTTGCTGCGGAACCAGTGGAACCAGTCAGTGTGCACCATGCTGTGCTGCCTGCTGCTCCTTGCGCTGCTGCTGGGGGCTGCCCTCCCACAGCCAGTGCACCAGAGGTGATGGCACTTCCCTGCTTCCCCTCCTCCCTGCCCCGGTACCTGCAGGTACCCCAGGGCCCCTGACATGGGCTGGGACTTGTGGCACCAGGCCTCAAGAGCTGGCCAGACTGGGTGGAAGATGCAGCACATGTGCCAGCAGCTCTTTGTGCCAGCCTGGGTAAGTGCTGTAGGACCTTGGCTCATTCCTGACCCATGTCTTCCTCTGTAGGGGCAGCTACTCAGTTCCCGAGGATTTCTCTGCTCCCCTGGAGCTTCCACAGAAGCACTTCGGCCTGGTGGATGGTACAGTGCTCTCCTCGCCCCTCCGAGCCCCCTTTCCATGCACTCACCCCCCCAGGTGGGTGGTTGTCCCAGAGCTGAGCCCAGCCCCTGCTGTGCCCGCAGATTACGGCATCAAACCCAAGCAGCCTAGCTTCAGGACGCAGGCGGCCCCGGAGCGGGCGGCGGAGCTGCGCAGAGCTCGCAAAAGCAAGCGCGATGGGCTGGACTTGCTGGAGTACTACGAAGACGGGCACCTGTGAGCCAGCGTGCCCGGTGCCCGCCACAGCCCAGCAGGTGAGGGCTGGAGCAACAGCTGCCACAAGTCCCTTTGGATCATCATATGACCTCTGGCCTCCCAGGATTGCATCCAGAGCTCTTGGACCAATACTGAGAAGCTCCATTTCCTCTTGGGGTTCCAAGGGAAAGAAGCGCAAGGGCCCAAACCCCTTGTAGTGGGAAACAAACATCACAGTAGCTCTGCTTCGGGAACCATCATATTTAATAGTTGTTACCATCACAGCAGATCCAACTGAAGCACAGAGATCACTGGCTGCAGGGACCGGGAGAGCTCCTTTACCTCCCAGTTGCTTCACATGGCTCCCTGCAGCCTTAGCCCTTCCCTGCCCCACTTCAGGTAGACACCCAGCTTTGTGCAGGGGCTGAGCCCCACTGAACTGGGGTGCCCCAGCCCTGCCTCTGCCACCTGCAACTTGGGGGAGAGGGGAAAGGGGCAGAGAAAGGCTTCCCTCCCGAGGGTATAGTTACTGCAGGGAGGTATGAGGGGAATTTTTCTCTCTCCCCAGGGCATGGATACAAGATGGAAGGGGTGGGGATGGGGACAGAGGCAGAGGAAAGCTGTCTCATCTCATTCTGAATCTGGCAGAGGAGATACTAGGGCTTCCTCTGCCACCCCTGCCCAGCAGCACTATCCCCAGGGCCTGGCAGGGAAGTGATCCCATCTCCCAGGCAGGAGCCAGCATATGAGTCTTTTTTTCTGTAGGTGCTGTGTTATCATTCTGCAAGAGACTGACCCTGCCACTGCAATTAAAAGTCACACCAGATGGATGTGACAGGAAGCTGTGCCATGGTCACAAGGAGGAGATGCTGTCACCCCAGCCTGCAGCTGGAAAGGGCACGAGCACACTACTGCTCCCCACCAACTGCTCACAAGCAGGGCACCCAGCGGGTGCCTCTCCAATAGAATAAACTAAGAGTATTTTGTACAATAAACACAATTTGTCCAGCCCTCCCCCCTCCCGTCCCCCCAGCCCGAGGAAGGGGAGTCACGAAAAGAGGCGGCGCTCCATGCCCCGGGGAGCCCTGCCCCGGGCCCGCTCCTCCTCCAGGCTCAAAGCAGCTCTTGTCCATGCACGACACGGGGAAGGGGCGAGACTGCAGCCCTGGCTGTGCAGGAGGTGCCTGTGCCAGCCCCTACTCCAGGTAGATATCCTCTGTGGGGCACGTATACTCCACATACTCCTTGTAGAATTGCTGAAAAGCCCTCCTGCAACACAGCACCATGCAAAGCTTAGCAGCAGCCTCCCCACAAGGCAATTCTAGATCTTCGTTTCCATCCTGACCCTCACTCCTTACCCTGTGGCCTGTTTGACATCCCCCAGCCCCTGACCTCTTCTGCATTAGCCCCAGAGCTGCCATCAGAGCCACAGGGTCTCCATCCTTGCCCAGTGCACGACTTTCAGCCATCTGCCTGCAAAGTCTTGCACTGGGACTTGTTCCAGTACTGTCAGGAATATGATGCCCATAGCCCTATCAGCCCTGACTCTCAAGCCAAGCATCTCATTTGAGGAGAAGGTGCCAGCCTGGAGCCAGGTCCAAACCCCACATGTAGGGGGAGATGGCAGGATTCAGCCTGGCTGTCTCGTTTTGCCTGCCCTTTATAAGCCAGCCTTCTCTGCCCAACCAGGACTCACCCTACGGACTCCGCCAGTGGCTTCGTGGACTCCTCCGAGACGAAGACATGACAGGCAAATCTGTGGTCAGCAGGGTGCTTGGTGATAAACCCAAAATATCTGAGGGCAAAAAAGTGGATGTGACTGGACCGGCAGACCTGCAGGCATAGGTACCCCAGTATCTCTGAGGTGTACCCACCCTTAAGCATAGGGATTTGGGACCTGAAACCCCTCCAAAAAAACTTGGTGGCCACCCCAGGGTCATGTCAAAGCCCATGTCCAGAGCTGCAGCACTGGGCTCACAGAGAGCCCTCCAAACCAAGGCTCTGGGAAACCTTTCCTTCCTAGCCCCAGTCATGCTACCCCCAGGGAGCAGGAAGGCAGCAAAGCCTCGCTGCTGAGTTACTAGTGTTGAGAGCTGCACTACACTTCCTTGCTACTCACTTGTTGTTCTTTGGATGGTACCCACAAAAAGAAATGTTCTTCAGCTGGAAAAAATGGCTACACTTGTTTACCTGGGGGAGAGAGAGAGAGGGGAATTGTCAGAGCTTTTCTCCCCACACCCGGCAGTGCAGCTGGTCTCTGGCTACTGGAAATATGCTCTTGGGAGACTGAGGAGTGAAATTAATTGGAGACTAATCCTGAGCTGCTATCAGCAGCAGTTTCAGGATTGTTCCAAGCACCTGAACAAAGGGAGCTTTTCCAGGCAGCCCTGCTGGCTCTCACCTCAGCTGCCTTTACCGCCAGTAGCTCCTGCAGGATTTCCCTGGAGGCCCTGAGTCAGACTGTACTCAGGCTAGAGTCAGTGCTGCTGTTCACTAGCACACACAGCCCTCCTTCTTCACTAAAAAGGCTCCCAGAAACACTAGTACATAGATGAATGGATAACTTAGAACTAAACAAGTCAATTCAAGCCTGGGTGTCAAAGGGTACCAGCCAGAAATGAAAACTTATTTATACAAGTCTAAAGTGCAGCTAAGTTGATGGCATCCTCTAGATATAGGCAAGATTTGTAGAAACCTCACCCCAGCTCTATTACGGCACTCAGAGCCACGAGCTACTCCTATCCCTCAGCTGGAAGGGAGGTTTCCCAACAGCTTGCTGCAAAGCCCTCACTTTCCTCTGCTCAGCATCCCAATGTGCTTTACTAGGCTACTTATGCAGAATACTAATCAGTAGCCTGCCCTTGCCAGATAAAGAGATTACAGGGCAGATCTGGAGGACACCACTCAAAATAGCAGCAGAAAGGTTTAGAAGCAGCTGACAGATTACCAGGTATGGCTCAGCTCGCAGCATCCCACTGCAGTGACATGCCTGACAGCTGTGAGAGCATCAGCTGGCATTACTGCCAGAGCTGGGGCCTTGTAGACATGGGGGACCTCAACTGTAGGCCTAAAATGCTGCTGCTGTTTCTCACACCCTCTGACATGGCGTGGAGACCCGTAATTTTCATATGCAATCATGGCCAGTAGCACAGAGGGCATGAGCCAGTTCAGAGCAGCAATCAGGGAAGGGATGAGATGAGCAGGGAGTGGGGCACTACCTTGCTGTGTTCCTTGGAGTCGTCAGCTTTCACAGCAATCTTGACCCCGCGCACACTGATCTCCAGGACGCAGCTGGAGGGTGGGTTAAAGTGCACAGTGAGGCGGCGCGTGGTGGCAATCTGTAGAGAGAGGCACAAAGCTGTGGGACTGTGAGCAGTGATGATGATTCCCCACTGAGGCTCTGCCCTGCTGAGCAGGCACTCCTGCTCCCTGGGATGGAGTGGGACACTACCTTCTGCATGGCCGCACAGAGCACATCATTGCCCTTGTGGTAGGGAACCTGCACAGAGCCAAGGAACTTCACCCGAAACTGGTCCACCCAGTCACTGCTCTTGGCCAGAGCTGGAAGAGAGAGCACATGGCAGGGATCATCCCTGGTGACCAGCTATGTGGGCTGAGATCCACCCCCCTCTCCACCTTCCCACCCCTGTGCTTTTCCCTACCCAGGAAAAGCTTCCCTCAACACCAGCTACCAACTCCCAGCATCACAGCAGAACCTGCTCATCGTTCCCTGCTGGATGCCCAGTTTGGTCCTCTCCCCCCACCCCCTGCTCAGCACCAGACTGCTCAGCATCGGGGAGGATGTGGTACCAGCTGGGGACATCAGCAGGCTGCACACAGGGGTTTGGTACCTGTTACATGGTCTGGGTCCTTGGTGACTTCAATAGCATAGTAGGCAGGGAAGATGCCCCGATCTCCTGTGCGCATGTTGTAGGCCTCATACCAATAATCTTCTGCCTGCACCTCCACCAGCAAAGGATCATCCACCTCCAGCTCCAGCTCGTCCGCGTGGCGAGGCACAAACCTAGGCAGAGAGGCACTAGCAGCTGGCTGGCTAGCAGTGCTGGTGGCCTCACTGGCACACTGCTGGGGCACTTACCACCAACCCAGGAAGTGCCCTGGGAGCCATGGGGACCTGACACACTAAACAAAGCACTGGAGGAGGTTTGGGCTCAACAGGCAGCAGCATCCTGGCACCTAATGCAAGGGTATCCCCTATTGCACCACCCAAGCTGCTCCTCAGAGGCCCTGACTGTCCTTGGAGGTCTTGCCCATGCAGCAGCCTGGGCAAATGCTGCTCCTGGGCAGGGCACGAGCTACAGACCACAGGTTTGCTCCCCAGGGCTTCCCACACGAGAAAAAAACTGGAGTTTGTGCTAGCCCCACTGTGGTGGGAGTGCAGCACCAGCCTTCCCCTGATAGAGGCTGTGGACACTGCCAGTGCCTGCAAGCTCACCTAAAGACAGCACGGTGAGTCTGCTCCTGCTCCTCCCCGTTAATCATACAGGAGAACAACCCAAAGGACTCGGCACCTGGGGACAAAGGCAGAGGAGGACATGTTAGCATTGAGGGATCAGTATCACAGCCAAGAGAAGGACATGGGCCAGGCCATCTGCTAGGGTTCCTGCAGGATGGCTCATCCAAGACAAAGCTGTGTGACACCACAGTACAGAGAGACATGGCTGGAGATGCTGTGCTGGTGCCCATCATCCCTGCTGGGAACAAGACCTCCCTGCAACAACACAAACAGCTGTGACACAGGCATGGGACCAGCCACACTACGGGAAACCCTGCCTGCTGGAGCATGCCAACAGTGCTCTTCTGGGCTTGGAGAGGAGTGTGGCATCCAGGAATATGATGATGGCCTCCTGTGAGTTCACTCAGTCTCCCCCTCAGCATGGCCATATCTTGGGCATGCCTCAATGCAGCCTCAAACACCTACTGCCACCCCCACTGACACTCATACAGTTTTTCCAAGCCCCACCATGCTTCCTGGACCACCAGGTACAAAGCCACAGGCTGCAG